ATAAAAACTTAAATTTTTAATCACCTATAAGACGAAAATCTCAATCATGGGGTCTTAACCTTTAGATCTCACTTAATCACTTACCTGAAGCTCCAATCATGAGAAATCTCAAATTTAGAAATACACAAAGACACCTTTTTGGACAAATTTTAGGCTGGACGGATATTTTCCATTTTGTTACTTGGATGGGCCTAAAGCTACATAACAAAAGGAAAATAGGCTTCCATTCTCGGGTTCAAACTTCAAATCATTTCAGGTTTAGCCCATACTAGTTCGGGCCAACCCATCCAAACTTCAACACCCAATTCATGGACCGTCACTTCAAAAAGGGGCATATTAAGTCTTCTATTTTGTTGATAAAAAAATATACTTTTATTTTTAGTAATTGTTGAAACAATTTTTTTTACTTATACTTTAAAGTTGAATGGAAGATAAATATACCCTAATATTTTGAGGTTATAGTTTTAAGGTGTTTTGAATCATTTCTTGTGTTATTTCATTGAAATTGTTTAGTTTTGAATTTTTTACGTTATATTTTTATTTTAAATTTTTTCCCTTATTGTAAACAGCCCATTTCTTTCCCTTCTTATTTTATTTTTATTTTTATTTCGGTCTCTTTTTTATGAAGGAAAGGGCAAAGCCCAAAATTCAAAAGGAAAAGAATAAAAGCAAGTTAGCATTAATTAAGCAATCAAATTTTTTATTTTCTCCTTTTACATGGTCAGGCCAAAATTATGTCGATTTAGCCCACTTTTATTTGGGTCAACCTGTCCAAAGTCCTTCACCCTAGTCCCAAACAAATACTCCAACTCCATTCGAAAAGCCACAGCAAGAAGGACTAAAACCTATTTTTAGTTTTTTACCTTTATAAATTTATAAGTTTTAATCTCTTACATTATATTATAATATTTTTAGTTTTTTACCTTAATAAATTTGTAGATTTTAACTCATCACTTTATACTATAACATTTTTAATCCCTCACCTGTACGAATTGAAGAAAATAACCTTTATTTAAGGTGATGTTATAACGTTTTATTAGTTTTATTAATTAACTGTTAATTTTGTTAATTAACTATTAGTGTTCCATTAGCATTCTGTTAGCGTTCTGTTAATGGAACTAACAAATAAAATTGAATTTAAATTTCATGTTTTCTATGACAAAATGTTAATGAATGCTCACAGTCAACTAACAAAACAAACAAAACATTATAACTTGATATTAAGTGAGCGTTATTTTCTTTAATTCGTATAAGTGAGGGCCTAAAAGTGTCATAATATAAGATGAGAGGCTAAAACCTACAAACTTATTAGGGTAGAGGGTTAAAAATGTCACGGTATAAGGTGAAGAAATAAAACCTACAAATTTATAAATTTTTATATATTATTAATTTATTTTTCTTAAAAGTAAACGATAAAAAAATTTAAATAACCCTTAATAAATTAACACACCAAAAAATTTATTAAAAATATATTTTATAACTTAACATTTTTCTCAAAGAAAAATTGTGGTAGATATATGAAATAGGTAAAATACCAAAATCTAACCCTAAAGTATAATAGTAGGGATGGATCCACCTCCAAACAAAAAAGGGAAACAAATCCACCCACAAAATTTTCGATTTGGATAAATCACCTCAAATTTAACATGTGACATCATCTACCATCAACAATCCGTTAATTCGTTAATGAATTGCTGATATCAGATGATGTTAAATTAATAGATTATTGATATTAAATGACATCATACGATAAATTTTGGGTGATTTGTTCAAATAAAAAACTTTGTGAGTGAATTTGTCTTTATTTTTTGTTCAAAAGTAAATTCGATCCTATCACTGTACTTTGGGGGTAGATTTGGGTGTTCTGCGTATGCCATATACCAACCACGCATGCACGGATACTCTAACTCTGGATAAAACGGCCATAGGTGCAATTTCTCATATTGATGCCCACTGTTGTACCAATGATCCCTGGAAGGGAATTAATTATTGCTTCTGGGAAGGCAAAAGAGTATTCATCTCATATATATGACCCAATTAAGCACACTCTTTAGGTAT